TATTTATCGATTTACTTTGAGATTTTTATTACGTCCTCCCCAAAACAGGCTCAGGGCGGATCACAAGAAACAAAGTCGAAGACTCATTACAATAAAATCACATTGAAATAATAAAAACAATAGACAATAAAATTGCACAAGCAGTGACGATTTCATATAAATTGGTTAGGAATCTTGACCTAAGAAGGGCATTTACAGCCCTCAGATTCCATGCCATTCCTTCAGTGGTCTGTGTTGGTCGTTTTATGGGTTTACCTGTATTCTCTCTCTCTCTCTCTCTCTCTCTCTCTCTCTCTCACACACACACACACACACACACACACACACACACACACACACACACACACACATGGAGGCCTTGACAATGGAGCAGGTTAGAGCAGGGATCCCCAACATGGTGCCCACCAAGTGTTTTTAGAAAGTGGGTGGGGCACTTGTCCAGCAGGTCTTCTAACTGGACACTGGAGATCTGAGTAGCTGGGCAGATTAAAAGAACGTCATTCCAGTGGCAGGTACGATCATAGGGTCGGTTTTATTCTTTCACCCGTTTGTTTGTTTAGAGGTTTTTATTCCACCCTCCCCAAGCAGGCTCAGGGTGGATCACAAAAAACTGAGTTCAAGACTCATTACAGTAAAACCACATTAAAATCTTTAAAACAATAGACAATAAAATTGCCCAGGTAGCGACAATTTCATATAAATCTGTTGGGGCTACAAGATGGAATCAATGGGCCCTTTCAGTGGGTTGGAAACTAGAGCATACTGTAAAGGTTGTAGAAACTCCAAGAGAACCAGAATAATGATAAGGTAATTCTCCTTTGAGGCCCACGGTGGCTCAGAGGTTAAGACGCTGAGCTGCAGGCCGGAAGGTCGGTAGTTCGGCAATTCGAGACCCAAGTGCCGTGTGATGGAGTGAGCTCCCGTCTCTGATTCCAGCTCCTGCCATCCTAGCAGTTCGAAAGAAGAAGAAGAGAAGAAGAAGAGATTGGATATACTGTAAAGGTTGTAGAAACTCCAAGAGAACCAGAATAATGATAAGGTAATTCTCCTTTGAGGGCCGCGGTGGCTCAGAGGTTAAGAGGCTGAGCTGCAGGCCGGAAGTTCGGCAGTTCGAGACCCGAGTGTGCCGCATGACGGAGTGAGCTCCTGTCTCTGATTCCAGCTCCTGCCATCCTAGCAGTTCGAAAGCAAGAAATTGCAAGTAGATAAATAGGTACCGCTTCGGTGGGAAGGTGACAGCGTTCCGTGCGCCTTGGCGTCTAGTCATGCCGGCCACATGACCACGGAAACGTCTTCGGACAGCGCTGGCTCTTCGGCTTGAAACGTAGATGGGCATCACCCGCTAGAGTCGGATTTGACTGGCTTTCGAGCAAGGGAAACCTTTACCTTTACCTAGTTCTCCTTTGATGAACCAAATTCCTTGGTTGAAAATACTGAAATGATGCCGTCGCTTAGGACCAAAACAGTAATAAGATCGTTCTCCTTTGACGAACCAGATTCGTTGATTGAAAATAACTGAAATTGTCCCGTTGTGTCAGTGAGAAATAGCGTATGCGTGTTTTGCCCCAGGCCACCTGCAGATATTCGACATGTTCCTTGTTGAGAAATGGCCGATCGTGCAGGCGTTTGCGTTGGAAGGAATTGGCGGCGGCGGATTCTTCACAATGAAATACGAGGTGAGGACATAATTACTGGGTGAGAGAGCCAGGATACTGCTGAACCCTGCGGTTTCCCTGAAGGTTTGTCTGGCCAGGTGTTTCTGGAGAGCTTGTGAGAAGGGCAGGGTGGGAGAGGGGAGTTCATTCTCTTGTGCCCCCTGAACGCCAGAGTTGCCTCCAGTTCTGCAGCCTGCCTCATTTAGATACTCAGGTATCTTCTTGTACCCTGTTTCCCTGAAAATAAGACCACACTCAGGTATCTTCTTGTATCTGGAATGTTGACCTGGCACCCCTTGGCGCGCCACCTGGCTTTCGTTTCTGGCCTCTGGCATTGTCATCTTTCAGTACGCTACTATTTGTAAATTGCTCCGTGCTCTTTTTGTAGCAGGAACTCCTTTGCATATTAGGCCACACACCCCTAATGTAGCCAATCCTCCAAGAGCTTACAGAGCTCTTCTTACAGGACGTTCTGTAAGCTCTTGGGGGATTGGCTACATTAGGGGTGTGTCGCTTAATATGCAAATGAGTACCTGTTCCAAAAAGAGCCTGCCTCCAAGTAATTTTGAAGCTGTGCATGGTGCTCTCAAGAATACTGAAATGATGCCGTTGCTTAGGACCAGAATGGTAATAAGATCGTTCTCCTTTGACGAACCAGATTCATTGATTGAAAATAACTTTTGGTCAGTATCCTTTTGGTCAGTATCCATCCCATTTCTGGAATCCACACCTCCTTTATTAGCTCGTTCCAGGTTTGAAAAACAGCAAAAGCAGGTGCGTTGCGGGGCCACGAGGTTTGTCGTTAACATTTGGTTGAATATTGCTGAATATTTTGAATATTCAACATTTGTTTGAATATTTGTTGAATGTTTTGCCTGAAAATTGTGGGGGGAATAATTCTTATCTAATATATTTAACTACAACTGCCAGAATACTCTGTGCTTAATATTGGAGATTACCAGAGATACCTACGAGACAAGAAACTTTAAGCAAAATGTTGGAAACGGCTGAAATGGACAAACTAACCTTAATTTTGAAAGGGCAACCAGAAACCACATTTGAGAATGCATGGTCAAGATTTTATAAATGGTTTGAAGACTATTCAAAGTAATTAACATAGACACTAAGAGTTTGTTAAGGATTTTTATTGTATAGGTTTGATACACTTGCAAGTGACATTTTTAATCTTATAAGGTGAATTATACACACCTATGATAAATTAGGCACTAATATGCGATTGAAGAAATTGAAAGTGAATTTTCCCTCCCCCTTTTGTTTGTTTGTTGCATTGGAAAATAAAAATCTATGTTTAAAAAACACATTTGGTTGTAATCGAGCGGCCTGGAGGGTGTTCCTGATGGGCCGAATGGCAGAGAGACACACATAACGAAATAAATACATCTGCAGAACCGTCGGGTGTGTAGTAACACAGCGGTGCCGCATGTCCATGGCACGATTATCCAGCCAGCCATAATGGCATATTGTTACCGTTAATAACTGAGAGGAGGCTGTGTGAATAGCTATCGTGTCAAAGAGCGTCATTTCCCCCCCACATGCAGTGGAAAGGCAATCAGTTCCTTATTCACACTTTCAATTAATGCTATATATTCTGAGTAGATGTTCCTGTAAGCCCTTATTCACACTTTTCAATTAATGCTGTGTATTCTCAATGTGCATCCCTGTTGGCTTGGAGCATCTTGGCATTTGCGGGACATTTGCAAGAGCTCAGAGCTTGGTTGTTTCTGCAAACAGGAGGGGGCCAACCCCTCCTGCCCGGTGCATTCATGTTCCTTACAGGAGTCCCTCATTTCTCTTTCAGTTAATGGATGTCAGTGTGGATCTGTGGAAAACTTACAGCAAAATGGATCCCGTTTCCTTGGAGAGTTTGCTTTATGAGGTAATGTGGTGGGCATTCTTTGCCTCGTGAGTCAGTTTACAGGAAATAAACCCACAATCTGGGATGAATTTTTGCCTGAGGGGAGAGCTGGTCTCTCGCGGCTCACGATGCCGTGGTTTCTTGAGTCCCTTTCCTGGTCTTTTAACTTTCTCAGAGCCAGAATGACCTTTCTGCAGAGTGCCCTTTGGGGCAGGCTTAAACTTCAGCCAGCCCCAGTTTTTGGGGGCCGTTTTGATAAGACTGTTTGGTTTGTCTGGAAAGGTTCTTGGACTCCTGCTCTCTGTGAATGTATCTTACAGCAGTGGCCTTCAGCCTATGGGTTGGTATTCTAAGGTGGGTCGTGGGCTTCTAAACGGGCAGCCGTTTTTCCCTGCATCCCGCCTCTCTGTGCATGCGCTCTGAAACAGCGGCCAGATGAGGTCACTCAGCAGGACGGAAGATTCTTTTCTGTGCAGGCAGGTTTAGAGACACCCCCCCACGCACACACACACAAAAGTGTTTCTTTGCCATCTTTCTCTTGCCCTCAGCCTGGGCAGCTCCTCTTAACAGTTAGCCTTTCAATCCCTTGTGTGTGCCTGCAGTGTGGATTTCCCCTCCACACTGGAGAGGTCACGGCTAGAGATGCAAAATTTCCGGACTTCCGAAATTTCCGAAAAAAACCATCTCCAGTTTTTTTCGGGGGGAAACGGAAATTTTCAGAAAAATTGGGGGGGGGGAAATGCTACATTAGCACTTCTTTTGTCTTTTCTAGATTGAAAGTCATTCTGTTGCTTTAGGAACATAAAATATGACTATGGACATTTTTATTTGGCATGAAATTATCACAACTAGTATATTAAAAATATAGTGTATCCAAACAGTTATTACAAACAGAATACCCGCCCACATGCAAAAACAAAACTGAAACCTTTTTCTTTTCTCGTGACAACAGCACCTCCTAAAGGAAGAAATGCACCTTGTTCTTGCATTGGAGAGTTCAGTTTGTAACCTAGGACTTGCTTGTCCTCAGTGCCCAGAAATTAGATCAATCTGATACCATATATATATATTTTTAGAAATGATTTGGAAAATATTTGAACACCTTGTCTTAAAATATTTTATTCCTCATGTTAAAATAAAACGTTCCATAATCAATTTCTTTTCTTTTTTCAATTTTTCCAATTTTTCGGAAAAAAACAAAAAAGGCTTCAGGGAAAAAACGGGAAAAAACTGTTCCCCCCCCCCGAATTTTTCCGTTTTTTCCGGGCCTTCACATCTCTAGTCACGGCTGAGTCAGGGTTCCCTCTAAGCTGAGTTTCCCCACTCCCCCCCACACACACAGCTGCTGGTCTGACTTTGGGTCAGTCACAAGTTCTCTCAAAGCTGTTCTTGCAAGAGCAGTCCTCAAAAGAGCTCTCTCAGCCCCTCCTACTTCACAGGTGGTGTTCCCTCTAAGCTGAGTTAGTGTGGGCTAGCTCACAGTTTTTTAGCCTCTGGCTCACACATTTTTGTCTCCGCTCAGGAAGGAGGGCTCCAGAGCAAACTAATTTACGCAGCAGCCAAATCGCTCGCTCACCACTTTAGTGCCAGTCGCTCACAGAGTAGAATTTTTGCTCACAGGACTCCACAGCTTAGAGGGAACGTCCCTGTCTCTGTCACGTGATTCCTTGTCACGTGATTGGAGTGGGCTCCCTGCTGCCACCTGGGTGTTAAAAGTGGGTCTGGGAGGATTGAAAACTGCTACCCCACAGCGTCTCCTCACGTTCCCGTTTTGTACGTGTGTGTATGTGCACACGTACAGCGGGAGAAGAGCAAACGCGGTGGGCTCATTGTGTTTCTGAGACATTTATCAGACATTACAGACCTTTCCGCTGGAAAACTATTTTGGGGGTAAGCTCCCAAGCAACTCTGTGGTTCCCTGGAATGTTAAGGCCTTCCCCGTTGCCTGTCATGGCACTGTGAATCCCGCGGTTTCTGGCACTGTTCAGAGGCAGCACAGGCCAAAAACAACCAAGACTGTCTCCTGTGCAGGCCCGGTTGGAATGAATGGGACCTGAGCCAGAGCCGGGAGGGAGATAACTGCCGGTGACTCGTATTTTCTGTCCCCAGAAGCCTCTCTGTGTGTTTATGTTGGCACGAGAGCCCTTGGCATGGAACCAACGGTGCAGTTACGAAAACTGAAGCGCCCTTAAGTTTGATGTGTTTTATTGATAGGTGTTTCTGGATTGTTGCTCACTCTTTCAAAGGCCTTCTGCTCCAAGGGGCTAAACAATAATTTTAGATTTTTTTGTAAGGTTAACTTTTTATCATGATATAAGAACATAAGAGACACCAATGTTGGATCAGGCCAAAGGCCCATCCATTCCAACACTCTGTGTCACACAGTGGCCAAAAATACCAGGTGCCCTCAGGAGGTCCAGCAGTGGGGCCAGGACACTAGAAGCCCTCCCACTGTTGAAGCCTCCCCAAGCACCAAGAATACAGAGCATCCCTTGCCCCAGAGTTCCTACCTATACCTTAATGCTAATAGCCACCAATGGACTTCTGCTCCATATGTTTATCTAATTCCCTCTTGAAGCTGTTCATGCTTGTAGCTGCCGCCACTTCCTGTGGCAGTGAATTCCACGTGTTAATCACTCTTTGGGTGAAGACGGACTTCCCTTTATCTGTTCTAACCTGACTGCTCAGCAAGTTCACTGAGTGCCCACGAGTTCTTGTCTTGTGAGAAAGGGAGAAAAGGACTTCTTTCTCGACCTGCTCTATCCCATGCATAATCTTATAAACCTCGATCACGTCACCCCTGAGCCATCATTTCTCCAAGCTAAAGAGCCCCAAGCGCTTTATCCTTTCTTCACAGGGAAAGTGTTCCAACCCTTTTATCATTCTGGTTGCCCTTTTCTGCACTTTTTCCAATGCTATAATATCCTTTTTGTGGTGTGGTGACCAGAACTGTACACAGTACTCCAAATGAGGTCACACCATTGATTTATATAGGGGCATTATGATTTTGGCTGATCTGTTTTCAATTCCCTTCCTAATAATCCCCAGCATAGCGTAGACCTATCTGGTGTGGGGCGGAGGGGCTGAGTCATTCTGTCCGGGATCCAACCACCTTAAGGGCACTTTAGTTTTCTTAAGGAGGGACAGGAATGTTTGCTAATTGCCCCCTCCAACTGCGGATACCCCCCCTACATTGTTCCCAAAGGTCAAAATTTCAGAGGATTAAGTGGGCTGCAGCGGGAAGCCAGAATTACCAAATTTGCCACCCACTCTGAAGGAAACCGAGGGCCCCAAAATGTCCGGGAGAACAGAAAGGACCCATGGTGGTGGTTTGGGGTTACTTCCGTACATTGCTCTTCTGCAGTTTCATTCCTGTTCAGTTCTGTTTGGGGGGTGGCTGGGTGCTTTTCATTGCTTTTGTGAATCCAGAAACCCACACTCTCATTTCTGCATGTTATTAATCCCTGGGTTCATTTGTGTGGTAGGGAGGACATTACGAATGTAAGAGGTGCCCTGGTGGATCAGACCAGTGGTCCATCTAGTCCAGCACCCTGTCTCACGTAGTGGCCAACCAGTTCCTCTGGAGGGCCAACAACAGGGCAGAGAGGTCAAGGCCTTCCCCTGATAAGTAGAAGAGCCCTGCTGGATTAGACCAGTGGTCCATCTGGTCCAGCACCCTGTCTTACATAGTGGCCAACCAGTTCCTCTGGAGGGACAACAACAGGGCAGAGCGGTCAAGGCCTTCCCCTGATAAGAACATCAGAAGAGCCCTGCTGGATCAGACCAGTGAGGGTCCATCTAGTCCAGCATCCCGTCTCACACAGTGGCCAGCCAGTTCCTCTGGAGGTCCAACAACAGGGCAGAGAGGCTGAGACGTTTCCCTGATAAGAACATCAGAAGAGCCCTGCTGGATCAGACGAATGAGGGTCCCTCTAGTCCAGCCATCCTGTCTCACACAGGGGCCAACCAGTTCCTCTGGAGGGCCAACAACAGGGCATAGAGGCCGAGGCCCTCCACTGCTGCCACTTCCCTGCCCTGATACTCAGAGATCCAATCCTCTCTGAAAGCCCTCTGTACCAGTGGCCATCAATACCATCCACTGGCTGCGACTTCCACAATTTAGTTGCTTGTTGAATGTCTGCCCTAAATCTGTTGCCTGTCAGTTTCATCAGATGCCCCCGCAGAGTGCTGTGGAGAAGAGAGAGGAGGTCCTTCTTCTCTCTGTTCTCCACACCTAGTTTAACTTTATGAACCCCCCAAGGGGACAAAAAATAACTAAATTGAAAAGTCCCAGTTTGCCTAGCCTTTCTGTGCAGGAAAGATGCACAGAACTCTTAACCGTGCTGGTTGTCTTCTTCTGTGCTTTTTCCAGCTCTGCAGTGTCCTTTTTGAGATATGGTGACCAGACCTGCACACAGTATTCCAAATGAGGTTTCAGCATAAGATCCATGCCAGGGCCATGACAGTATTGGCCGTTTTATTTCCAGTTCTTTTCCTAGTAATCCCTTGTGCTGATCTGTTCCTTTTTTCGCCACTGCTGCACACTGAGTTGGCACTAGGGATGGGCATGAACGAGCTGACGAGCGAAAGTTCGTGATTTCGCAGTTCATGGTTCGCGAAGCAGTGTCTGCAAACTGAAGAACCGCCATGAGCTTTCATGAGTTTTGATGCTGTTCACAGTGGTTTGTGAAGAACAGAAAGCAGTGGGGAGCCGAAAGCAGGGGCTTAAATTTTAACCGGCTCATGAACCCATAGGAACTATCTTGGTTCACGAACCAACCTCCCAGTTTGTATCAGTTCATGGTTTGGTTCGTGGTTCAGCCATGAACCATAAACCGAACCAAAGCGCAAAAATGCATTTGTGCCCATTCCTAGTTGACACTCATTGAGCTATCGGCTAAAACCCCAAGATCCTTTTTCCCCTTTCCGCCTCTGCCAGTTGAGACCCCATAGGCATGGATTTAAAGTCAGATCTTTCTGATCCAGTGAGCACCACCTTAAACTAGCCTATATCGAACTTCGTTGTTGCCCACTCGCTCGTTTTAGAGAGACCCCCACCCGGAACTTTTCAGAATTTGGTTTGATTTGTGACAATCTGAATAATTTGGTATCATTGGTAAATTTGGCTACTAGACTGCTCCCCCACTCCCCAGTTCCATGTCATTTATGAGCAAACAAATATTGGCGGCCCCACTACCGATCATTGTGGGGTTTCGGTTGCTCACTTCCCCCCCATTGTGAGAAGGGTCCATTTTTTCTTGATCTCTTTTGGAAGGCCTAGTATCTAATTTCTGATGGTTTGCCCCAAGGCACTTGCTTGTTAATACTGAGGGCGATTTCTCACTAGAGCTGCCTCGCAGCACAGCGCCGTTTGCCCCGACACAAACGTGTCAATTTCACACCCGAAGCTCCGGGGCTGCATTTTGACTCTGGGCTTCCCCCGATTTCCTCCGCAGTTTCGTGATCCTGGTTTTTGAGGATCATGAAACTGCGGAGCGAAGCCCCGAGTCAAATGCAGCCCCGCAGCCTCGGGTGTGAAATTGACATGTTTGTGTTGGGGCAAACGGCTGAGAAATCGCCCTGACTATTTTAAGGTGGATGTGAAATAGGCCAAGGCTGACACACAGTGGCCATTAGTAGAGTTGCCTAGAGTATATGCCTGCTTTTCGGAGAGGAGCAACATGCCTGATTCCATAGAGCTGTGCTTTCTTATTACAAGGTCTGAGTGCCATACCTTCCTGCCTTTCTCCCCTTCCCCTTAGAGACCCGCAGAATTTTCGGGGTGTGACCTTTGGCTCTCGAAAGCTTGTACCCCCAAAATGTTGTTGGCCTCTAAGGTGCCCAAACGAAGAGGGGGTGGGGGAATCTAAACCAGCAAAGCACAGACCTCCAAAGGAAGTCTAGAAAACTAATTGAGGGCCAAAAGTTAAAAACATAAGTAAGTGTACAAAAGAGTGTTTATTACAAAGACATATAAAAACCTAGTAGGGGCCCAAATAGAGCCTCATAAAATGTTCAGAATTACAAATGCACACCAAAAAGGACAGCGTGTGACCTGACGTGTTTCGGCTCACAAGAGGTCAAATAGTGCAAAATACAACAAGCAACAGAGTCCCTGCAGCACATGTAAGGCAATTAACAATAAATAAAATAGCACCAAAATTGGAATGTTCTAATATGAAATTGAGCGACGCACCAAAAAGTTTCTATTTGGGGCCACAAATATATCTGGCCTTGTGTCAGAAGTAGTTGTATGAACTGGAAATAATATGTACCTTCCAGTTTAGGTCCTAAGAGTGCAAATAGAATTGGTCCTCAGTTAGTTTTCTAAACTTCCTTTGGAGGTCTCTAAGGTGCTGCTGGACTTGAATCTAGCTATTTTGTTCTCTAATAGCTTTAAAGCTTTCTCTACGTCTTTCAGCATTCAGGTTTCTAGAAGCTTAGCAGAGTAACTGACTCTCTCCAGTTGTGTTAAGGAAGATAGTTACCTTCGCTTGTCCGGGATCGTGTGTGGCACTGATTGGCTCACAGACGCTAGGCCTTCCTTCCTTCCTTCCTTCCTTCCTTCCTTCCTTCCTTCCTTCCTTCCTTC